TTGAGTTGAATTACTGAAATAAATGAACTTTTCCACGACATTCTAATTTATTGAGATGCACCTGTATATATATTATAATGAATACATATTAATATTTAAATATAACATAATAAAATATAATATAAAAATAGTGTAAATATTATCTCAATTATTATTTATTTTTTTTTTTTCAAAATGTTCAGGTTATTTACTGTAAGATATTTTAAAGAGTGAAATTTATGATAATTAGTGGTCTTAAAGTTGACTGTGTAAGTTGTCCCGTAACAATAAGTAGCCTAGCAACCACTTGGAACACCCTAGCAACCATATAGCAATGCAATAAAACCACTCAGGATGCCTTAGCAACTGCATAGCAACTCCCTAGTAACCACCCACAGCATTCTAGCATTGTGTCTGCAAGTTACTAATAGTGTAAAATGACGTTTTTGCATGTTTTACTTGGCTTTCAGACCACAGAATATGAGGATATGTCCGCTTTGACTGCTAAAGTTGGATATAAGAGAAAAGACAATCTAGAGAATTGTGTGTGTGTGTGTGTGTCGCTGTTCACCTCACTACATGAGATGATTCTCTTCCCACATCTCTCTTTCTCTCCCACTCCTCTAACAGAAGGCTTTTTCAGCCTGTTATTGCTGGTCTTGGCCACCCACAATGCTTTGCTCCTGCCAGAGAGGACTCTGCGGTCGAGTTGTTTGTTGGCATCGCTTCTTGCCTTTTCTTTCTTCTCGCTGTCTCTCTCTCTCTTTAGATTAGTTTGCTGAATCGAAACATCTTTGCAGTCACATTTATGAACTGCAGCATTTTGCTGACCGAATCTCACAGGAAAGCAGCAGCTGTTTGACTTCATTAAGAGCCAACAACTTAAGAAAAGTTACTTCTGATCAAATGAACACCAGCATGATTTCTGAAGGATCATGTGACACTGAAGACTGGAGTAATGATGCTGAAAATTCAGCTTTGATCACAGGAATAAATTACATTTGAACATATATTCAAATATAAAACAGTTATTTTATATTGTAATAATATTTCACAATATTACCGTTTTTACTGTAATTTTGATTAATTAAATGCAACCTTGGTGAGCAGAAGACACTTCTTTCTAAAACAGTATATTATAAATCATACCAACCCCAAACTTTTGATTGGTGTATTATTTTATTTGACCTTATTTTACTTTATAACAGAAGCCTGTTTTAATTTATATGCAGTAGTTTGAGGCAAAGGAATATGCTTCTCAGGTGTGTGTGGGCTTTTTGGCATGTTTCAGTAGTTCAGAGCCTTTAAAGAAGCTCAATATCAAGTGAATTTGCAGCTGATGACTCAAATCTACAATCTGATGGACTGAAATAAACCAAGACCCTGTTCATCCTCTGGATGAGGAATGATGTGGACCTTCACAATTGAAGAGAGAGGGATGATATGGACACAAAAGGCATCAAAAAAGACAGTATTTTTGTTTTTCTTTCATAGGAAATGCACAAGCTGCTCACAGAAAGTGTTTTGTTAAGCTTGTTTTAAAGAAACTTTTATCGCCAAAACCATCCTGTCTTCTCATATTTACAGCAACATATCTCTGGTTTCCAGAGCGTTATGTAGATGCAGATGCCTGCTGCCCTTAAACCCTAAAGCTACTGTTTTGTTTTGTTTTTTGTTTTTTGTTTTTTGTTTTTTGTTTTGTTTTGTTTTGTTTTGTTTTGAATGTACTTATTTTATTTTAAATGTACTTATTTTATGTTATATTTTAATTATTTTATTTTATATTTTAATTATTTTATTTTATTACATTTTTTTGTTTTATTTTATTTATTTTATTTTATTAGCTCCTGTAACATTTTATAGTTATTTTATTTTATTTTTTATTTTTTTAATTACTTATTTTTTAAATTAATTATTTTACTTTATTTCATTTTGTCCCCAATAGATTTCATAATTGTCCCAATTATTCACTCCTGCATTTTTGTGTTAGTTGTTACTGTTCCACCTCCTCCATTTCCTTTTGTTCTTTCTGTTGTATTTAGTTCTCTCGTATCTTCTTGTTTTCCATCCCTCCTTGTTTCCACCCTCCCATCTACCTTGTTCACGTCGTCTCCCTGTGGTACCCGTAGCCGATCTGATCCACCCCAGGACCAGCTGATGGTGCTGCTGCTGGCCGAGGGGAAGCAGCAAGTGTCCAGGTCAGTGTCTCAAACCGGTCCAGCTCCTAAATCCTGTCCGCTCAATCTTGTCCTTCCACTTACAAACTTCACTCACAAGAACCGGACTCCTGAACTGCTTATGGGATCTGACCTGCTCTTGGGATGCAAACTAACCATCTTCTGACTGGATCGGAGACCCTGAGGTCCTGTTTGCTTTATTCTGCTTGCACAACATAAATCCTCTGTACAGCATGTTCTCATCCTCATCTGCCTCTCTTCAGTTGAGTCATCAATAATCTGCAAAGTATCTCCGTACAAAGTCCAGTACGGAAATCCAAATCTACAGGCATTAAGGTGGCGGTATGAGGGATATTAATGACGGTCATTACGGTGTTCAGCTGGAATGGGTTGAGAAGATCTGGTGGAGTGAAAGGGTTGCTAAACATTTGTTGTCAAACATGTATACATATATCAGCTTGGCCATCAAAAAATTCATAATTGAACATAACTCAAATTATTAAGTGTGAGATCATATATATATATATATATATATATATTAGGGCTAGGCGATATATATCGGATGGACGAAATAATCGTGGTGCCGCAAAATACATAGTTTACGGCAATACTATTTCATCATTTGAATGACGGCACGTCACGTTGCTGTGCGCGTGGTCACGAAAACTTCATGTTTGCACACATTTTTAAGCACTGCAGTTTAAAACAACTGATTTTAGGCTGTTGAAACACAAACAAAAGAGCTATATGCGCACGCTGTCGCTGTCTCTGTTTCTGTGTGAGAGGAGTGCGTAAGCCGCGCATCAGCTGCTAATAGAGCTCGTGAGCATTTTTGCCGCTTTATTGGCTTTGAACGATCGCATAAACACTTATATGCGTCCAAATGCCCGGCTTTGCAGGTATCCTCATAAACACAGTCATTTAGGTCTTAAGGGCGCATGTGTAACAGTATATTGGAGCCGGACTTCGGTCTTAAAGGGGAAGCTGTCCAATATTCGTCCTGTCTGCCATTCATGTTAATCAAACAACAGTGAGAGATTTGCTCTTGACTACTCCTGTCCCTCATCCTTTCCTCACACTACTCTGCATGCTCTACAAGACATACAGGTATTGGGGACCCAAAAGCATCTGGACACTAAATAATACCTGAATGCCATTGTATTAGATAACAAAATATGAAACTCGAGTGTCATTTGCAAACAAACGATGCTGGGGCTTTCCTCAGAACTAACTGTGTGTCTCAATACTTTAAAAAAAAAACATGCACAGTTTCTATACAGACAAAAACTTTAAAATATCTATATCAATGCTATCAATCTATTTGTACTGATTACTAGGGTTGCAAAGGGGTGAAACATTTCCGGTAAATTTCAGGGAATATCCCAAAAAACCCTGGAAAGTTTCCAAAATTTCTGGAATGTTTCCCAAATTTACTGGAAATGTTCCACCTTTTTGCAACCCAAGGTATCAACCATTTTAATATAAAAACCTTATTAAAAGAAAAAATAACTATATCGTTATATATATATCGTTATCGTGATATAAAATTATTCATATCGTGATACAAGATTTTGGTCATATCGCCCACCCCTAATATATATATATATATATCTTTAGCTGTTCAAGTATTCGTCCTGTCTGCCATTCATGTTAATCAAACAACAGTGAGAGATTTGCTCTTGACTAAATCACTTTTGTAACTAGAGTAAGAAGAAAATAAATAAATAAATAATGATAATGATTTTTTTTTTATTAATATTTTCTTGTATTAGTTTGATATCGACATTGGTGACAAGAATTATGAAAAGTCTATGGTATCAATAAGGTTGCAAAGGGGTGGAAAATTTGTCTCTCATAGTTGAGGTATACCTATGATGAAAATTACAGGCCTCTCTCATCTTTTTAAGTGGGAGAACTTGCACAATTGGTGGCTGACTAAATACTTTTTTCCCCCACTGTATAGTAATGATGTAAATTATATAATATATATTATATATAAATAGTTATTTTTTGTACAAAAGTTGTGAAGATACAGATACATTTTTAAAGAAATTAGGGCTTTTATTCAGCAAGGATGCATTAAATTGATCAAAAGTGACATTTATAATGTTACAAAAGATTTCTATTTTAAATAAATGCTGTTCTTTTGAACTTTCTATTCATCAAAGGATCCTGAAAAATAAAATGTTTCACGATTTCCACAAAACATATTCAGCAGCACAACTGTTTTCAGCATTGATAATAATCAGAAATGTTTCTTGAGCAGCAAATCAACATATTAGAATGATTTCTGAAGATCATGTGACACTGAAGACTGGAGTAATGATGCTGAAAATTCTGCTTTGATCACAGAAATAAATTACATTTTACAGTATATTCACATAGAAAACAGCTATTTTAAATTGTAAAAATATTTCACAATATTACTGTATTTTTGATCAAATAAATGCAGCCTTGGTGAGCAGAAGAGACTTCTTTCAAAAACATTTAAAATTTTTCAGTGATAGTCTATATGTGTCATTTCTGCTTTTTCGCTACTGCTGGAATAGATACGTGAAGCATCTGTGTGAAACATGTTCCTGTGGAGTGACGTCAAGGGTTGACCCGTGTAAAGCCTGAAGAATGTGATGGTCAGCACCTCGACGTCTTATTTCCGACCTGTCATTCAGCACACTCAGTATGTGTCTCCCCTAAAATTAACCCCTAGTAAAACCAGAACACCAGAGTCAAACATGACCTTAACCTGGACGCCTCGCTCTAAAGCCGTCAATCAAACGTAAAGCCCGTCTTCTGAGCGAGGAGATTCCCGTGTGTGTGTGTGGCATCATGTGTGCGTGAGTGTTTTAAAGAGCACAGAATACCTCAGAGGTTGCGTTTGCTCATGGTCACTAGTGAAGACATTCGTCTTTAAAGTGTCCACTGATGTTGTAGATTATGTTCGCTTCAGGACTCTCCATGCTTGTTTATTCTTTGTAGAAGCAGTAAAATGGACCTTGTTCGTCTATAACAGTGTTATTTTATTATCATTGATATACTATGTAGCGAATCAGCTCATTCATGGGGAAATATGTCCCTGCTTCGCATTCCATTAGGTCGTAAATGTATCTGGTGTCAGGGTTGCCATGGTAACCAGGGTCCTGGGCCTTGTTCACAGACAACTTGGCACCCAGTATGTTTATTGGGTGAGGGGTCTGTGAACGTTTGTTAATCTAATGAATAATTGATTTGTTAAATCAAATGAAAAATGGTGTGTCTGATTGGTCCAGACGCTACAACTATTATAGTTTTTGTTAATAGTTTGAATTACACTTTATTTTTAGTTAGTGTTTTTGTCATTTTTATTAGTTTTTAAATGTTTATATAGTTTTTATTAATTTGTATTAATTTTTAGTTTATTTTTTTGTGTATTCATGTTTGTGTATTTATTGCATGCTTCTTATTTATTTATTTATTTTAATCATTTTAGTACTTCAAGTTAAAGTAAATGAAAATGAGAAATGTTGCCTTGGCAACTAGCTGAAATAAAATGAATGTTTTTTTTTACTTAACTTTTATTTTACAATTGTACAATAAGTAACCATTTTAAAAGGTTTGTTTGTTTGTTTGTTTGTTTTGAATTAACAACCTAAAACACAAGATTTATTTGTTTGTTTATTTTGTTTGTTTGTTTAAAAGAAATGGTCATGTTTTTTTTTTTTTTAGCTTATTAGCTTATTGGCTGAAATAAAATGTTTAATTTTTTTTATATTTATTTTATTTCACTTAGATTTTATTTTAAATAACATTTTTTTTATGATTTCAGTTAACTATACTAACCCTACAATGCTGAAGATGGAAGATGCTGCACGACATGCAAAAGTTTCATATTGTTCATGTTGTTTCATATTGACATATTACAGTATGTTGCTGTACATGTTGGTTTCTGTTTAGTCATAGTGAAATCTCATTGGTCCAAAATCCTGTATATTAAACATCAAATATGTTGATTGGTTAGGATTTCGCTTTCAGTGATGCCAGAAAAATGCATTTGAAACTCTGTTTGCATCTAATTTGGATGAAGTGCATTAAAATTTGTTTGAGAAATGTTTAACTCTATAAACAAAAATATTATCTTTGCTTGAAAAGAGTAAATAGTCAGACTACTGCAGCAACAATTGTGTTCACATAATGTGCACAAACACATGACGCTGCGCTCTCTGAATGCACATGTCAGTATGCATACACATGTAATGTACACACAGTAAAGCTCATAATCAGTGTCGGTCTTTAGATGGCTGGATTCTGCTGGTGAAGATAGATCATCCCATCAGCCTGCTGCAAACATGGAGATCTGGGTGTTTACATATTGACTCACATCTGCTGTAAATCATTACACACATTAACACACTGTGTGTGACTGCGGTTATTATTAGTGGTGTTTATAAGTCAGTCCTCACTATTACTATTGCTCATATTTAGGGTTAAGGCCCATTCACACCAGAAACTACAGCTCTGAAGATAACTATATTAGTGTCCACACCAACACACTGACGTTGTTTATTTTAAGCGTGTGTTGTTGTCTGCCACTTTAAAGCCTGGTGGATTCTGATTGGCTGTCAGTGTATTTATCGTTCATCAGTAAACTAAAAATCATTCGGAAAATGATTCCAGTGGTATCATTCCTCTTTGTCGTTATCGTTATTGTTGTGGTGTGGCCGTCTCCATTCTCGAATTAAAATTATTTTATTTTTTTATTAATTAATGAATTTTTAAGTAATTAATGAGTTTTCTTTATTTCTTTTTGTGTATTTCTTTATTTTATTTATTTATTTATTTTGACTTAACCAACCAAAACGCTCTTATTGCTTGTGTGTTGTACTGCAGCGTCTCTCATAATTTACTTATTAGTTTTTTGTTTTGTGTATTTATTTATTTATTAGTGTGTTTGTTTGTTTATTTATTTATTTGCTTTATTTATTTTTGTGCTTTTTTTTTCTTTTGACCACCCAGAACACACTTAAAATTCAGTCTGTGTATGTTGTGCTGGAGTGTTGACCAGAATTATTAATAATTTATTTATATATTTGCATTTATTTGCGTTTATTTATTTTTGTGTATTTATTTATTTGTTTGTTCGTTTATGCTGCCTGGCAGCATCCACCAGAATTTATTTATTTATTTTTATTTGTTTATTTGTGTTTATTTCTTTGCTTTATTTATTTTTGTGTATTTATGTCTTTGCTTATTAATTCATTTATTTATTTTGACTTAAACATCCAGAACACTCTTAAAATTCAGTGTGTGTCCTGCAGCATCCATCTTATTATTTATTTGTTTGTTTGTTTGTTTTGTGCATTAATTTATTTTTGTGTATTTATTTATTCATTTAACCACCCAGAACTTCCTCTCTACCGCTTAGTAACATCCTGGCAACTACTCACAACACTCATCAACACTATTAATTTCAAGACCTTATCCTCAAAATACTTAGCATTGCCCTGGCAACCACATAATATACCTGCAACCTAGCAACTACCCAAAACGATTGGTACCACATAGCAACGTGCAAAAAATCTTTTAGAACACCAAAGCAACTGCCTAGCAACACCCTGGAAACCCCACACAACACACGTAAAGCTCATTGACATAACGATAACAGGATCTTTTTGCTGTCGTTCTAGGAGACAGCAGCGCCTGCCTGGAGGAGGAGGAGGGGCTGCTGGGAAATTCCAGAATCCTCAGCAGCAGCAGGGACTGCAGCAGCAACAACAGCTGCCCAATCAGATGCAGCAGCCCAACGCAGACCACCAATCAGGTGCCAGCACTAAGCACGGGGGGCGGGGTTACCAGGGGCAGCAGAACCAGGGTGGGTGGCAGGATGGGTGGCAGGGCGGCCCGCATCACGGCTACAGCCAGAACCGCCGCTGGCATCAGCATCCCAAACACCAGACGAACAGTTTCAATCAAGGGGCCGACAGGGGCCTCACACACAATACCAAAGAAACAGAGAATGTAAAACAAGAGGAGCCAGAGCCCCACATGGAGAAAGGAGCAAAGGACGAACCTGCGAAAGAGGAGAGAAAGAAAGGAGACAAGGAGGAGAAGACGGAGAGCGGGAAGATCTGTTTACTGCAGTCATCAAAAGAGAGACTGAGGAGGAGATTGAAAGAGAAGGTGATTGATGCTAAATACATTAGCAACATATTATTAGTGTGGTAAAACATGTTAACAACATGCTAAAACAAGCCAGAAGCTTTCTAAATACCCTAACAACATACTATCAATACTGTCAACATACGAACAACATGTTAAATCAAGCTAGAAGCATGTTAAATATGCTAGCAACATTCTATCAGTGTGGTAAAACATGTTAGCAACATGCTAAAACAAGCCAGAAGCATGCTAAATATATCAGTAACATGCAATGAGGGTGGTAAAACATGCTGAAAACATGATATATTAACAACATACTATCAATGTGGTAAACCATGTTAGCAACATGCTAAAACAAGCCAGAAGCATGCTAAATATATCAGTAACATGCAATGAGGGTGGTAAAACATGCTGAAAACATGATATATTAACAACATACTATCAATGTGGTAAACCATGTTAGCAACATGCTAAAACAAGCCAGAAGCATGCTAAATATATCAGTAACATGCAATGAGGGTGGTAAAACATGCTGAAAACATGGTAAAACAAGCTAGAAACATGATATATTAACAACATACTATCAATGTGGTAAACCATGTTAGCAACATGCTAAAACAAGCCAGAAGCATGCTAAATATATCAGTAACATGCAATGAGGGTGGTAAAACATGCTGAAAACATGGTAAAACAAGCTAGAAACATGATATATTAACAACATACTATCAATGTGGTAAAACATGTTAGCAACATGCTAAAACAAGCCAGAAGCATGCTAAATATATCAGTAACATGCAATGAGGGTGGTAAAACATGCTGAAAACATGGTAAAACAAGCTAAAAACATGATATAATAACAACATACTATCGATGAGGTAAAACATGTTAGAAGCATGCTAAATACACTAGCAACATACTACCAATGTGGTAACGTGTGGTGTGTTACATGTTAGCAGCATACAGTCAATGTGATAAAACATGTAAATAACATGCAAAAACAAGCTAGATGATTTGAAATAGAAATCTTTTTTAACATTTACTGTCACGTTTAATCAATTTAACACATCCTTGCCGAATAAAAATATTATTTTCTTTCAAAAAAATCGTACTTATCCCAAACTTTTAAACATAGTATATGCTATTCCTCAGTGTTCTAAGTCATGTGACCACTGTTGCTGTTCTCTGATTGGTAGGAGGAAGTTCCCGTGGTGACAGCCGGACCTCAGCGGAACCGAATGGACAGATTGTTAGAGATTCTGAACAGCATGAGGAATAACAGCAGCGGCGTGGAGAATCAGCTCACCACGTTCATGGAGGAAGCGCAGAATTCGGCCGACTCGGAGGAGACACTGAACGAGATCGTTCACACCATTTACCGCAAGGCGGTCAGCGACCGAAGTTTTGCAGCCACGGCAGCCAAACTCTGTGACAAGATGGCTCTGTTCATGGTGGAAGGAACTAAATTCCGCTCTCTGTTACTCAACATGTTACAGGTAAGAACTGAATGTTCGTAACTTATTTGATCACATTCACGTTCTGCGGGTTGTCTCCTATTGGTCAGTGCTGTGTCTCTGAGGACCAATCAGATTGCACGATTCACGGCTAGACGTCTGTGAACGTCATCCCACCTGCTGCTCGACCACATCCATTTCAGCTCTTTCGTTCCTCTTTTGCATCTGCAGTTTCTCTTCTTCCTCTTTTTCTGAAGGGCTTGAAGAAGCCGGAGTACCAGGATGTGACTCACGCCTGCAATCCAGCTGAGTGACCCTGTACAATTTCCTCATTGGACAAAAGGGACTTTTTAGGCCCCAAATGCTTTCACCTCCTTTTGAAATGACGTTTCTGGAAGCAAATGAATATATTTTGAAGAAATAGTTCAAAATGAAATTCTGTCATTGTTTGTTCACCCTCATTTCCTGTGGAATGCAGAACGTTTTTTTTTTCCCCTGTCTGCTCTTTCCCTTATAATCAGCTCCAAAATGTCAAAAACACCAAAAAACGGACTCAGACAATTTACATTTAGCATGACTAAGAACAGCCTGTTTTTGAAAATGGCCATGCACATCTAGGCTTTGCGATATTTGCTCACTCTTCTTTGCAGAACTGCTCAAGTTCAGTTAAATCTGATGGTGAGTGTTTGTGTGGGGTTTAAGTCTGGACTCTGACGAGGCCATGCAAGAACATTCACCTTCTCCTTCAACCACTGTGTGTCAGTTTTGCTGTGTACTTTGGGTCATTGTCATGTTGGAAGGTAAACCTTCTTCCCATTGACAACTTTCTGGGAGAGGGCAGCAGATTTTCCTCAAGAATTTGACAATTTTAGTCTCATCTGCATCAGAATCTTCAAGGTGTGTTTTGGCAAAGCTCAGTCTGACTGCATGTGGCCTTTCTTGAGGAGTGGCTTTTTTTCTTCAACTCTCCCATTCAAGCCACATTGGTGGAGAATTTGGGATATTGTTGTTACATGCACATAATGACCACTCACTGCTTCAGAGTTGCTGTCGGCCTCTTGGTCGCCTCTCTGACCAGTTTCCTCCGGCTCTTTCATCCAGTTTGGAGCGACGTCCTGATCCAGGGAGGGTCTGTGTTTTACCAAATACCTTCCACTTCTTAATAATAGACTTCACTGTGCTTCTAGGCATTTGTCTCCATCTCCTCCACAACTTTATCCTGGAGATCTTCTGACAGTGCCTTGCCACTCATAGCTGATTGTTTGCTTCAGTTGCACTACCAAGGACTGAAATGCTCCAGGAAAGCTCTTTTCATGCTGAGCTGATCAAAATGAGCACATCTGACCACAAGTGAAAGTCAAATGGCTTTGTGTGTCATTGAGAAGGTGATCAGCTACACCTGATTGAGTTTACAAGTCATTTTTAGGAGGGGGTGATCCTTCTTCCAACTCAGTGATTTTTTTTTTGTTGATATGTTGGTGTTATACCTTTCACTTGGATGTTATAAGTTGCACTGAGTAAATACAGCTGGATAAAACAAAAACTGTGTCCTTCTTCATTTCAGGCTGCAAAGCCTGATTGTCGTTTGGGGTCAGTCTGTCTGTACTGTGGTTTCAGTGGTAAAGCCCTAAGCATTTTGTTGCTTTGCAGCCTGAAATGAAGACGGACACAGTTTTTGTTTTATCCAGCTGTATTTACTCATTGCAACGTATATCATCCAAGTTAAAGATATAACAACAACACGTCAGAAATAAATAAAAAAACAGAATCACCGAGTTCGAAAAATGATCACCTCCTTGTGTCAGTATTTTGTTGAACCACCTTTTGCTTTAACTACAGCCTTTAGTCTGTTAGGATTTGTCTCTGTATCTACTAACTTTGCACATCTAGACAATATTTGCTCACTCTTCTTTGCAGAACTGCTCAAGTTCAGTTAAATCTGATGGTGAGTGTTTGTGTGGGGTTTAAGTCTGGACTCTGACGAGGCCATGCAAGAACATTCACCTTCTCCTTCAACCACTGTGTGTCAGTTTTGCTGTGTACTTTGGGTCATTGTCATGTTGGAAGGTAAACCTTCTTCCCATTGACAACTTTCTGGGAGAGGGCAGCAGATTTTCCTCAAGAATTTGACAATTTTAGTCTCATCTGCATCAGAATCTTCAAGGTGTGTTTTGGCAAAGCTCAGTCTGACTGCATGTGGCCTTTCTTGAGGAGTGGCTTTTTTTCTTCAACTCTCCCATTCAAGCCACATTGGTGGAGAATTTGGGATATTGTTGTTACATGCACATAATGACCACTCACTGCTTCAGAGTTGCTGTCGGCCTCTTGGTCGCCTCTCTGACCAGTTTCCTCCGGCTCTTTCATCCAGTTTGGAGCGACGTCCTGATCCAGGGAGGGTCTGTGTTTTACCAAATACCTTCCACTTCTTAATAATAGACTTCACTGTGCTTCTAGGCATTTGTCTCCATCTCCTCCACAACTTTATCCTGGAGATCTTCTGACAGTGCCTTGCCACTCATAGCTGATTGTTTGCTTCAGTTGCACTACCAAGGACTGAAATGCTCCAGGAAAGCTCTTTTCATGCTGAGCTGATCAAAATGAGCACATCTGACCACAAGTGAAAGTCAGATGGCTTTGTGTGTCATTGAGAAGGTGATCAGCTACACCTGATTGAGTTTACAAGTCATTTTTAGGAGGGGGTGATCCTTCTTCCAACTCAGTGATTTTTTTTTTGTTGATATGTTGGTGTTATACCTTTCACTTGGATGTTATAAGTTGCACTGAGTAAATACAGCTGGATAAAACAAAAACTGTGTCCTTCTTCATTTCAGGCTGCAAAGCCTGATTGTCGTTTGGGGTCAGTCTGTCTTGTGTGTGGTTTCAGTGGTAAAGCCCTAAGCATTTTGTTATTGTTTTTGGGAACTGACTGTTAGACTCATTTCTCAGTGTGATGTGACACCAGAACTCTGACCCACTTCTGCTGCGGCCAAAACACACACACACACACACACACACACACATGTGGCACACTCGCAAATACACACAGACCAACACACTGCATCTCAAACAAGCGCGATCCTGCTAATGTGTCAATAACAGGATCGTGAAGAGAAGGTACTGCAGGCAACTACTAACTTTTGATAAAGCATACAAAATAATAATGTATAGCATTTAATTTTTATGATTTATTTTCATCTGTTGTAACATTAGCATTATTTAGCATCAATAAAAGGCAATTTTCTTAAAGTGACATGCTCTTATAGTAAACAGTGATTCTTATTTCATGCTGGTTTTAGATATTAATACTGATTTTATGTGTTGCTTGTGCATGTAGTTGTCAGAAGGTTTTTTCTCTTGGCATTTAATGGGCTTTTTTCTTAAAACAGGGTAAACAAGAAGTTCATTTGCATACAGTACATGAAACCACTGAGTTGTTGATCATGTTAAAACTAGTTTGTTTCAATATGATCAACAACTCAGTGACTGGAAATTGTCATACACAAATATATATATATATATATATATGAAAAATTTTTTTTTGACAAAACTAAACATTTAATGTATGCAAATATATTTTTACATCTCTTTTGATGCATCAGTGACAATTTATGTATATAGCACAATTAAAAACAACCCACATTGACCAATGTGCTTTACAACAACTAAAACCACACACAACTAAATAAAAAACAATAAGACAATAAGACAAAAACAATTAAAATTGTAGTAGAGTATCACTTTTGATTTAATTTGTACACTACATATTACTTCATATTATTATTTTGTGTACATACCGTTCAAAAGTTAGGGGTTTGAAAGATTTGTTTTTAAAGAAGTTTCTTCTGCTCACCAAGGCTGCATTTATTTGATCAAAAATACAGTAAAAACAGCAAAAATTGTGAAATATTATTACAACTCAAAATAACATATTTTCTATATGAATATCTGTTAAAATGTAGTTTATTTCTATGATCAAAGCTGAATTTTCAGCATCATTACTCCAGTCTTCAGTGTCACATGATCTTCAGAAATCATTCTAAGATGCTGATTTGCTGCTCAAGAAACATTTCTGATTATTATCAATGTTGAAAACAGTTGTGCTGCCCAATATTTTTGTGTAAACCGGGATACATAATTTTTTTTCAAGATTATTTGATAAATAGAAAGTTCAAAAAGCAGCATTTATTTAAAATAGAAATGTTTTGCAATATTACAAATGTGTTTATTGTCACTTTTGATCAATTTAATGTGTCCTTGCTGAATAAAAGTATTAATTTCTTTAAAAAAAAAATCTTACTTTTGAATGGTACAAAATTTGTTTTATTTGTGTTATTTATATGTCAATATGACTATAAAATAATAATAATAATAATATTAAAATTATAATATTATAATAATATAATTATAATATTATAATAAATTATCATATACTAATTATAATATAATAGTTATTATTATTGATTGATTATTATAGGTTTTCGTTATTTTTTTTACATGTAGTACCCCGTTAACCCCGTGTGGAGCATCAGTCTAGAGTTTTGTGCGTGTGTTGAGGTGCATGATTCATCTGGTTTGTCCTCACATAAACCGGCGCTCTTCACCCGTCTGATGCTGGAGCAGACGCTTTCATTCTGACGGGGTTGTGTAACGGAGATCCGCAGATGCGGGCGTCTCTGACCCCACTGAAAAGACACGTCTGCTCCAACTCATTTAGCAATCTGCCACAAACACACGCGGCTTATCAGAGAACAGAGACGTGCTGCCAGTGTGTGTGAAAGTCCATTCATAGTTAATATGTTTTTGTTTTATACCTAACACCATTTTGAAATGCCTGGTTGCCACGGATACACTCATATGAGATGCTGTTTGAAGTAAAGACGAAATCTTCCAGAATTGCCTCCAATGTCTCCATCTCTCCCAGCATTTTTGGCGCAAAAGTTTCATAATCACATTATTTCGCATCATATTTGCAGAATGAGACCCAATACGTCATTTTGAGGTGCTGATTCCAAAAATAGTGGCTGTGTAGCTCTACTGCGTCACACTTTCTCACAAAATATGATGCATTTCGTAGTATTTTTACCTTTGATGACCATTTGTAAGGTGAATAAGTCTTGTATTCTGCCTTAATCAGCAAACAAAACAAAAAAAAACACCAAACAAACATGATTCCTGTTCGATTCTCAGCCTATTTTCACATGAATGACATTATTTGATGTCTAATCCTGATTTTCACTCCTTTGCAGATTGTACGTAAGTTAAATGATACATTTTGAATAGTTCAGAAATAGTGTCAGAAACTTTTGACTGCTTTTATTATTTTGAGTGCATTAAAGCTGATACATATACTGTATATCATTTGAAAAATCTTCATTCTTATTTAGTAAAAAAAAACAAAAACTACATGATGGAAAGGTTTTATTGGTATTTTTGAACTCAGCATCATCAACTTAGGTTATGTTAGGCCTCTTTTTGCAAAAGAACTATTTTTCAAGATGCAGGGCTGTGCCATAATCAAAAATAATATGGAATTAATATAGTAGTTTCTAAAATTGAAACGATTCTTTAAATCTATTTTTTTTTAATTTAATCTTTTTATTCACGTTTTAATCACTTACATAAAACCAAACGAACAAAGTCCACTTGAGGAAAAAAATTAATGGAGAAAAGAAGAGAGAAAGGAATGAATGAATAAGTAAATAAATACATAAATGCATATTTAATAAATGTAATATTTTATGCAATAAATTAAATATTCATTAAATATTTCATATTTATATAATATGATATGTAAATATGTCATTTATATAATAAATAATATTTAATACATTTAGTTAAGGAACAAACAAACCATAAAGACAGTAGCAGTATACCGCACAATATTGCTTATGCATTAATATGATCAAGAGGAGTTCAGACTTGGTGACAAGCTTCAGTGGACAAATGAATAACACAAGTTAGAAAGTCTAAAGGAATACTTTTTCTAAAGATGTTATGCCACCCTTTGACTGACAATTTTTTTATGAATTTTTTTTTGTTCTGATAGCAAACAAATGTCCAGCAAATTCGATCAGCTGGGAGACGTCGAGTCAAATGGATCTAACTGTAGATGCTGGGTGTGAAAGTGTCTGTATATTGTGATGTTGTGTCATGACTGTGTCTCTGTCTCTCTGTGCGTCTGCAGAGGGACTTCACGCGGCGTGAGGAGCTGCAGCAGACGGATGTGGAGTGCTGGCTGGGCTTCATCACGTTTCTGTGTGAAGTGTTCGGCACCATGAGGAGCAGCGCTGGAGAGCCGTTTAGAGTGCTGGTCTGCCCCATATTCTCCTGTCTGAGAGAGGTACACAAACTACACAACACCAATCTGCTGTGTGCCGTCTCTCTCCCGCTCTGATAGATGTGAACGACACGTTAACTCCTAGAGAAAGAGGAATGAACAACAGCCAGACAGAGATGGAAATCAACACAACCTTCCTACACATTTAGTTCTTCAGCTGTTTAGAAACAGTAGATATTTCCTACATATCAACTCACCATAGAGGGGTTCAGAATTTGCTGAGCACTGGATAGATGTTGTTGATGTGTAAATGTGAATGGTTGTGTATTTAAATGCATTTTTCTGAAGGTAATGCATTTGACATAGTTTGCACTTTGCAGCTGCAGTAACTCTAAAAAGTTATCTTTTTTCCAGATAAAATTGCAATTGCGATTTAAAATGCAGTCAAAAATTAATAAATGAAAGGTTTGTTGTGCTTATTTTGCCAAAAATGGGATTTAGATATCAATATGGCTATATGATAATAATAGAAATAATAATTAAAAATTTTTTTTTTTTTATTATTATATAAAATATTAAAATACTATAAAGAATAAATGTATAAAGTAAATGAATAAATTAATAAATACTATTAATTAAAACATAAATACTTTAATAATAATATTTAATAATAATAATAATAATAATAATAAAGACATATCTTCTGCAATATTTCACTTTAAATTAAAAGCATTAAAGTATTTATTATTGTTGTTGTTGTTGTTGTTGTTTATTTGGCCAAAAATGAAATTTAAATATCAATATGACAATAATTATTATTATTATTGAACATTTTTGTCAAATATTACAATAGGAATATGTCTTATTTTGTTTAATATTTTATATAATAATAATAATTCTTGAATATTTTTTAATTTACAGTGAAATATTACAATAGGAATGTGTCTTATTTTGTTATTTTACAGAATAGTAATAATAATGATAATTTTTTTCAAGGAAGGTAGTTTTGAGAAAATATCAAACTTTCATATCAAAAGATCAGGAAAAATTAGTTTTGTCATAATCCGACCCCTTTAAGACTTAAAGATGGCTTTTGTCTGGTGAAATGCCCCGATGGCTGTTGAATAGGGCTTCCCAGTCTGTGATGAATCCTGTCAGTTATTCAGCTGATGACAGACGCGATCCGTCAAAAGCCAGAGTTTGAGTCTTCATCAAAGAGCCGTGATCTGGGTGAGAGTTCGGCGTGTGTTTGTGCTGTACGAATGCCGCTATTCAAGATCGCAGCCGGATTAACATCACATTCGTCTCTCGTATCGGCACGTCCCGACACGATGGTCTGAGAGTCCTAACAGGCACTTTGTGTCGGTGTGTGACAGCGATTACGGTGTGTTTACAGGCCGTCTCAGCCAGGTGTGAAGTGTGTGTTGTGTGCGCGGCGGACCGGCAGAGCAGGTTGCTTAATTACAGGTGATCCAGCTGTAGTTTGGAGCTGACAGGTGTATTTGGAGCACTGAGGGTGTGGGAGAAAATAAAAGACAGGATGAATGGAGGGAGGGAGAAAAGAGACCGTCTGTTGTGCATTTGAAAGCTGCTTGAGCTGAAGGGTTGGACGTGCGTCTCTGATCTTCTCAAACCCTTTTGTTGGATTCTATTGTGCAGTTTTACATACAGTTGCATACATTTAGGACTCATATACATGACATATTTTAAAACTTAGTCTGTAAAAGGACTTTGTATGCACTTTTTTTTCTCAATTGAGGACCTTCACTAAAAAAAAAAGTTGTGTAGAAACAATTTTCATGCACACATTGCGAATAAATTTCACAAGCAGTTGCAAAGAAACAGCAAGTAATGCATTGAAATAAACATGAAAGTGTAAGTAGAAAACTGAAATGTAAAACCTACTCCAATAATCTTTTTTTACAACTTTGAAAAATTCTTTTTACACTGAACAATTACATTCTACACTAATTCACTAATTGTTTTGGAATTCTTTTGAATTTGATCTACTTTTAAATCTTATCTTGGTAAAAGGTAGAATTACCTCTTAAAGGGGTCATATTATGCTTTTTCACTTTTTTAATTTTAGTCCGTGTGTAGTGTGTATGTTTGGGCATAAAAAAGATCTAGAAAGTTACAAATCTCAAAGTCCACTCCAAAGGGAGATATTTCGTTTTTTAAAAATCCCTTTTCACGAACTACAACGAACGGCTCGTTTGGACTACAGCGTTTGTTTTCCCTCCTTTGTGATATCACAAAGCGGCCCATTAGAATATCATTAAAAATAATTCCCGCCTACAGAAATCCGAATGGTTGTGGGGTGGGGAGGGGCGAGGTTGTGGTTAGAACGCTTGGTTGAGTGAGCGCGTCAGACGAGATGACGAAGAAGAAGTGCTGCTGCAGAGTTAGTGCATCAGAGAAAACCAAGAAGAAGAGCTGCTGTGCTGTAGCGTCAAATTTTCGGCATGTCTAGAACAATTCTTACAAGTATAACACGAAAATGTCTCCGTTCCAAGGTTTTTAACGTCACAGGACGATGTTGTGAAGCAGTAATTTTCCATTGCTACTGTTTCTGGTGTGATAAAACTTGGTTTTGTGCTGGTCAGACGAAGTCTGAGCATTGAAACATATGCAACTAAGATTATTCAAT